AAACTTTAATTTTTATTGGTTTAATCACGTTATTTTTCAGAAAAATTGTTATTCTAGCGTACTGCTAGTGTTATATAATTGTAACTGATATTTCCATTTACCAGTTTATTTTGATCATTTTTGTAGGCTAGTCCTCGTCCATCAATTTTGTAGGCATATTTTTGCTGTTTAATAACATAGTTCCCAACCAAAAAAAAAAAAAAAAAAAGTTTTTGCCCTTATTATTCGTCTGATTGTTTAGATTGAACGGTATAGTGGTAAGATTGATCAAGGCTGCAAGTTATATGGAGAAAATTTATGAGACAAATTTTGATTTGGAGTCCAATTTTAATTTAAAAAAAAATTAATTTTGTGTGTTTGGTGCGTTAGGTTACTAATTGCTGTTATTGGAAAAGAAGGGGTCGCATTTTTCCAATTATGAGAACTTCATGGGCAGATTCTGTTGCTAATTCTCAAGCAGAGAATCCAACCACTGGTGCATCTGATAATAACAGCTCATTTCACCCTGCACGGTCAACTTATGTCCCGCCACATCTTCGTAATAGGCCACCGTCTTCTGATCCTCCGGCTCCTTCACAGTCTGCCCCACCACCAGCTAATGACCGTGTAGGTAACAGTGGGCCTGCAGCTGGGCCCGCCTGGGGTGCTGGTAGTTCTAGACATGATGCTGGGCGCCCAGGATATGTTTCCAGTGGTGGTCGAAATGTTGGTGGTTGGAACAATAGAAGCGGAGGGTGGGACCGTGGGAGGGATCGTGAGGTAAACCCTTTTGCTGATGAAGACATCACAGAACCTGCATTTAGTGATCAAGAAAACACTGTCATTAACTTTGATGCTTATGAGGATATCCCGGTTGAAACTAGTGGGGATAATGTGCCACCACCTGTGAATACTTTCGCAGAGATAGACTTAGGGGAGGCTTTGAATTTAAATATTCGGAGGTGCAAGTATGTGAAGCCGACTCCTGTTCAGCGTCATGCAATTCCTATTTCTCTTGGAGGGCGGGATTTGATGGCTTGTGCTCAGACAGGTTCAGGGAAGACAGCTGCTTTCTGCTTTCCGATTATTAGTGGAATCATGCAGGGGCAGTATGCTCAGAGACCTCGTGGAGCACGTACTGTGTACCCTCTTGCTCTTATTCTCTCCCCTACTAGAGAACTCTCTTGCCAGGTTGGATTGTTGTTATGCTAGTCACATTATGTGTAATCTTGTGGTGTATATGCAATAGCTTATTGTTGTTTCTATTTTGACTGGCTTGCAGATACATGAAGAAACTAGAAAATTTTCTTATCAAACTGGTGTCAAGGTGGTAGTTGCTTATGGAGGAGCACCAATAAACCAACAGGTTCGTACAACTTGACATAGGTTGTGGTTTACTGATACTTTGGATCCTTGGTCACTTTCATATATATGTTCCCTGTTTTCAACTATCCAACATTAAAGCTTATACCTCTTTTTTCCATTTCTGCTTTTGGCGATGGTGATACAGAGTGCATGTACATCTTCTATTTGAAACTAGAAAATATTAATTCCCTACGGAAATGTATTGAGTTATAGTTTATTTGCTACATCATGCCTTTCTTCTTCCTCTTCCACTTTTTATTTTATTTATTTTGTTTATATTTTGTAAAATTTATTTCAGCAAATAATTTTTTTAATTATAAAATGAAGGCTCAATTTGTAAAGGATTGGTGGGTTTTAGGTTTATATGTTTAAGAGAGAGGGAGAGAGAGAGTTTGCAAACTGATCAATGATCATAATTTTGGTTATAGTTGAATATGGTGGGAGATGTTTTGGCTGACCTGTATTAAAATTTGGCCCCTAGCCCATCCAAAGTATTATAATTTAAGCACATTTCTTTTTGTACCTATTCTTTCTGTCCTTTTTTGCATTTTTGTTTTGTTTTGTTTTGTTTTTGAAGGTTCACCTCCTACTGTATTGTTTTCTAATATTCTGTCAGTTGAGAGAGCTTGAGAGGGGGGTGGATATTCTTGTGGCAACTCCGGGACGATTGGTAGATCTGCTTGAGAGGGCAAGAGTGTCGTTGCAGATGATAAGATATTTAGCTCTTGATGAGGCAGATCGGATGCTGGACATGGGTTTTGAGCCTCAAATTAGGAAGATAGTGGAACAGATGGACATGCCTCCACCAGGTTTGAGACAGACCATGCTATTTAGTGCTACCTTTCCAAAGGAGATACAGGTTTGTTTTAATTGTTAACTGGGTTTTCTGTTGGATTTGTCTTTAATTATTGGCATCTACATATTTCGTATTGGTGTGTTATGAACATTTTATTGAGATATGTTCCTTTGACTTGATTGCTCTTAAAAGATGTACTGAATAGTGGAATTCCAAATGGAAATTATCTAATAGCTTTTGCAATATTTTGTTGGTATGCAGCGACTGGCATCAGATTTTCTTTCAAATTATATATTTTTGGCTGTCGGAAGGGTTGGTTCAAGTACTGATCTAATTGTTCAAAGAGTTGAGTTTGTTCACGAGTCTGATAAAAGAAGTCATCTCATGGACCTCCTTCATGCACAGAGGGAAAATGGAGTTCATGGCAAGGTAATATGGAAAAGGAAAATTATCAACTTGGACTTCTTTGTTAAATTTCTTTTGATTATTGGAATAATTGATATATACTGCTTAAGCTACTATTTCCAAGGCTATACGTTCCATTTGGGTTGATAGATTCTGTCAATATCTTGCATTGTATTAATAATCGCTTGTCGTTCAATTTTCAGCAATCCCTGACATTAGTTTTTGTGGAGACAAAGAAGGGAGCCGATGCATTGGAACACTGGTTGTGTATGAATGGGTTTCCGGCAACTACTATTCATGGTGACAGAACACAACAGGTAAGCTGGTTGGAATTTAGGTTTATAGTTATGAGAAGTGATATATGTTTTCTATTGTTTGTGTCTGGTATTTATGTCCTTAATAACAATTATTCTTGGTGAAGAAGGAAGTTAAACCTTGGAGTATTGATTGTGTCTGTGATATTGTGTTGTTAATGACAAATGTTCTTGGTGAAGAAAGAAATTAAACCTTGGAGTTTTGTAGTATGCTTTCTCTGTAGCTTCATGCCCTATTTTATAGGTCTGAGATTTTATGCTCTCTCTCTTTCTCTCTCCTGTTTACCAAGAGCCAGGAGGGAGCTCTACGTGGTTGGTGGGTTGGGGGCCAGATAAGCTGACTTTAGTTTCTGATCATATGTCGTGGCAAAAAGGCAAAAGAACTCTTTGTTGAGCTATTTTGATGCCATAACTGAGTAAATTATGTTTCTGCTTTTCCTGCAGAAAGGTTTTAGTGTCTGTTTCAACTGCAAGTCATCCTTTTTTCTTGTTAATATATTAAATTTAAATGAAGATGAGTTTCAGGAAGTTCATGACTGCAAAATGAAGATTCTCTATAGAAAGCTTCACTTCACTTCACTTGGTTGTCAATTGTAGTCCCTTTTTTTGGTGTATGTAATGATGATCATGCAAGTTTAGCATGAATCTGAGTTCTGACATTATTACGATACGGCGTGCTTGTATGTAGGAAAGAGAACAGGCACTGAGATCATTCAAGAGTGGGAATACACCAATTTTAGTGGCAACAGATGTGGCAGCACGTGGTCTTGATATCCCCCATGTAGCTCATGTGGTAAATTTTGATCTCCCAAATGACATTGATGATTATGTTCACCGGATAGGTAGGACAGGGCGAGCGGGCAAATCAGGATTGGCAACGGCATTCTTTAACGAGAATAATTTATCAATGGCGAAACCACTTGCTGATCTAATGCAAGAGGCAAATCAGGAAGTACCTGCTTGGCTTACTCGTTATGCATCAAGGGTTTCTTATGGCGGTGGCGGTAGGAATCGGCGTTCTGGGGGAGGTCGTTTTGGTGGCCGTGATTTTAGAAGGGAGAGCTCCTTCACTAGGGGTGCAGATTTCTACGGTGGGGGAAACAGTAGTGGGGGATATGGGGTTCCTGGTGGCTATGGTGGGGCCCCTGGGGGTTATGGCCCGAGTAACGGTATGACCAGTGCTTGGGATTAGTGTTCCATAATTCCTGTCTTTTTTTACTCTTGAGTATATAAAACATTAATTTTCTTCGAAATTCATGGATCATATGTTCTGTTTCCTTTTTCTTTCTCTGTTGTTGAGTTAGTGGTTCTGATGTGGTAACTGCTCTGGTGAATTTTGAGGAGAGGACTGTTATTAGTTGGGTGGTTAATGTGAATAATACATTTAGTTTTGGCCCCCTGTAATTGTTTTGGTCTCCTTTTTAATTAAAGATTACAATGCCATGGATGAGCCTAGCGCTCTGCAATACCTCTCCCATGGCGGTTAACCTTAAACTATTTGAAACATAACTTAATCAGAGCCAAATACAGCAGAAAATGCACCAACATTTATCTCACAAATAAGGCAATGGCAACGAGGCTGATCAAAGGAATCAAGCTATTTATTAGCCACCGAACTTTCCCTGAAAATTTTCTTTGTTCAAAATTGGGATTGAGAATTTGTTACATTGTTGCCCTTGGCCTAAGTGGTACAAGCAGATCTGCTGTTTGTTTGGAATTATATAGCCCCTATCGAATCCAGTAGTGTTTTCTCTGTGAAAATACTTTACAACTTCATTCTCTGCTGTTACATCAATTCCATTAGGTGCCTTGGTCGCTGCATTTCATGTCCACTATTTGGAAGATTTTCAGAGATTTCACCGTGAAGAGAAGTCATCCTACACCCTGGACCATCATCTTCATGTTGACTTGAAATGATGCTCGGCCTTATTGGTTCACCTGAGAAGGCCACTACTTGAAGGGCTGAAACAAAATATCATTCAGTCTAGGTCAAGATTACAGACATGTTGTAAAGCTTAGGATTGTTCTCATGTAAAAGGAGAAGCAATATTCATGCAGACAATCATTCAGTCTAGTTTAAGATTCCAACATGTCCAATTTATCATTCACAAGCAAAGTTTGCAATCGAAAAGCGAGAATTAAGCAAGCCAACTCTCACCAAAAGCAATGGTTCCTTCTTTATATACATTCTGGAGCAAATTCTTTATAACTAATTTCGACATATTAACATACTTATATGATTCTCTCTCTCTCTCTCTCTCTCTCTCTCTCTCTCTCTCTCACATGATGTAATGAAACACAGGACAAATACACATCAAGAGGGAAAAATAAAGAAATATCATTATATCCATCTTGACAATAATGAAATTTAGTGATTTTGTGGTTTTATCCAAAATAACGAAACCCCAAATCTACAAGTTGGTGCGAAGTCTTGAATGCTCAGGAGGAAATTCAATATACAACACTGGGAATCCTGGATCCAGCACAACATAGCAAGTCTTTGCACACTGGGGAACTAGTTCACTTTGAACTATTTGAATAACATGTTGCCAACCAGCACTCAAAACATGATAAGAGACCACGTATCAAAGTGGCAGCACAAAGGTGTGGCAACAGGAAGCATAACAAAATTCAAGGAAAAATCTTCAGATTAAATTTCGCCAAAAAAAAAAAGAAAAAGAAAAAAAAAAAAAAGATAAAAGAAAAAAAGATAAAAAAGATAAAAAAAGTGAGCACTACATCTGAAATTTGTTACCAAGTTGGAAGATAATTGAAGTAGTTTTCCAGGAAAAAAGAAAAATTCTTCCCTAGACAGCATGCCTCCCTAAAATTCTGAAGCATGTTTTAAAAATAGTTCAAAGGGTACTGAAAATTCACCCTAAACCTTAAGGTTTCATAGGGCCACTTCCCCTGCTATTGTTTCCATAATCCGGTAATCATTTCAATTCATTGGTTCATAAGTTCCCAGATCCAAAACTGGGATGCAATTTAAAATGTTTGAATCTAGAAATGAATTATAAATTCAGCAAACAAAAAGCCTTTTGAACAAAACATGGATTCTTTGACATCTCCATTTTACTTACAAGAAAAACCAACAGAATGTGAACTTATAAAGTCTGAAGGCATGGAAGTTAACCTTGATTTTTCAACTAATCCGAATAACCTAAATGTTAAACTCCCTATCAATTTTTGTGCAAGAAAATTTAATCAACTTCAGTAGATTCTGCTGCATCAGCAGCGAGCCCACAAAACAAACATAGTTAGCACAAAGATAATACAATAAAATATGAAAATGATCTTCTCTCTTACCCATAAACAAGAAAACTCTATAGAGGGAACTTTTGTTCAGAATTTCTTACTTGAAATTCAATAATGGCTTCTATCCAATTCAAGCAAAATGTTGAAAGTTCTCTGATACAAACATTAATCTTCATCAGACCCTTCCGAATCCAAATTTGACATTTCATCCTCATAGCATTCATCACCAGTTCCAACCTCGTCCTCTTCAGATTCTTCCGGCCCACTTTCACCCTCCACACTGTTAAGTAAAATCTCTTGCGGGGATAGCAAGTGCACACCTTTACTGCGATAAAGAAGCCCTGTTCTCATGACATGATAAAACTTCTCTCTCATGCGTGTGAGGGGATGCCGGTTCACTAATTTCCCTCTCTGGTACCCTTCCCTGAGAGCAACAGTGGTTGTTTTACATTTCAATGAGAGGTAGAAAATCCCCGGATACCTTGTGAAAATTCTCGTAAATTTATGAGGAAGATTTAGTTCCTCTCTCAAGCTTCTCAAGTAGTTCCTCTTAGTCTTCTTATGAAGAGTCAAGCTCAATAACTCATGCAAAACTCCAACAACCCTTTTCTCCATAAGATCACTATTAGGATCAATATGCCTAGAATCCTCATATGGCGAAATGTATGGTAACTTCTGAAACTCCTCCATCCATACCCTAACCTTCTTCTGCCCTCCATAACCCTTTGGAAAATTCATCGGGAATGCCAACACAGTCTGCCCCCTCTTGAATTTTCTATACTCATCCCCTAAATCACCACCCTCTTTACTCCTCTGCAATTCCGACACCGCATACTCCTTGGGCCATTGTATGACCTTCAAGCAACCAATCCCATTTGAGGCCTTAATGATTCTAAAACAATTTGGGTATTTTGGAACCAACACTTTCTCAAAACCATCAGGCAAACCCAGATCCCATTTCAAGGGATACAAAGATTGGAGCGGTATAGTTTTACTTTTCGTCATCATAAGCACTCTACAAAGTCTCTCCACAGTATCACTCTCATGGGTTTTGTGTATACTCTGTTCTTGTGAGTCTAACAATAGTGCAGTGTCTGTTAACTTAAAACAGGGCAAACTGGCATAGCGGGCATGTGGAAATTCTTGAAAAAGAGTAGGGTACCTGCGCATGAAGCGAAGAACTGGGACAGTTAGGCCAAGAAGCTTTTGCCAATCGGCGAAGGACTTGGCGGTAAGGAAGCCAGTTGGCGAGCGCTTGATGGCGTCTTTGAGGAGGCAAGCAGCTTTGAGATCGGTCTCGGTGTCGATGATGTGGTCTAAGCTCCGATTCTTGACCCATTTCAGCCGGACCTTGGCTATGCCGCGCCATTGGTGGTGATGATGCAGAAGAAGCTTGGTGGGTTCAGAGGTGGTGTGGGGTTTTAGGAGAGAGAAGAGGAAAGTATTCATTTTCGGGTTTTATTTGGGGTTTTCCGCTATTGGTGTGACAGTGTGAGCTCATGAAGTATTGGAATGCCCAGGAAAGTTTTCATTTTGGGGTTTCTTGGGTTTTATTCAATTTTACTCATGCTATTATTGTGTTTTAAAATAAAAATAAAAATTAGGACTAACGACAAAAGATACTCTGTTGGTTTACGATCATTCTCAAATTGGACTCCACAGTATCAAGTTTATCAATTTAAGCCCTGCTGTTTTCAACACCGTCCAATTTTATCATTCCATTAAGTTGACAATATGGTCAATCATTAACTGTTGACGTGGCACCAGTGGGACCCACTCCACCAGTGCTTTGGCCATTCTGAGCATGCCAGTTGAAGGGCAGTTTTGGGTTTCGACAATTCAAAAAAAAAAAAAAAAAACTGAACATCGCGCCCAAAATTGGGTATGCTTTGCAAGAAGAAGATCGAAGAAAAAGCCGTAAAACGTCGTTAATCATCAACCTCAGTTTAACCTAAATCCTAAATCTCCATAACTGACAGCAAGTTCTACAATTTCGAAGAAGTAAGAAGAAATGAGTTGGGATTTCAGGGCTCCAGGCGCTCTGCATCCCTCGTACGGTAAGTTGGTTTAAATTTTTGCGATTTGGGATATCTGTGTTGAATGGGTTAGAGGTCGTCTGGGTTATTATGGTTTGAATGTTGTGTTTTATAATCTGCGTGGAATAGTGGGAGAAGTATGAAAGATTTTGTCAAATATAGGTGGCCTTTTTACAGATTTCGAATATAGGTGGTCCTTCAAGATAAGTATGTGCTAGCAATGTCTGCCTTTAATAAGGTCAAATCGTCTACTTTTAGTAAGGCAAAAGTGTTAGGTGGAAGGGTGTGAAAAGGGTTGTTTAATAAAATTTGGCCTTTTCTATAATGGTCCTAAACTAAAAATAATTGAAAAGTAAGTTATGATTTTTGTATAATGTGTGAATACTTTGTTTGAATACTGTGTTTTGTGTTGTGTTTTATGTTTTAACTGAAAATAACCAATGTTTGGGACATGTAATATGTAGATGATCCTGAATTGTTTTTTATTCGAATGTACCATGGTGGTCAAATCTGTGGTAACTGTTATGCTTCTGGCAGTGTAGCTTGGTTTGATTATTGTGACAAGGATAGAATGTCAATGACTGAGATAGACAATATGGTGAGGGAGTTAGGCTATGATGGGGTGATTAGTTACTGATATAGTATCCCTATCTATAGCAATGGTGACCTAACAAAGCTTAATGATGATCAAGATGTCATAGACATGCTTGTATTTGTACCAGAGACAAAGCTAATAGACATCTTCCTACATCATAGGGTTGATAGTAATGAGGGTTGGTTTTATAGTCAATTAGGATCAAATTTTTTTTGTTGATGTAGAAGTTGATATTGTGCCTAACAGAGGAGTTGTGATTGAGGAGCTTAATGAAAATTATAGGGCTATTGTTCATGTTGGTGGGAAATGCAAACAATGGACGTAAAAAAAAAAAAAAAAAGTGTTGTGATAAAAGAGCTCAACGAAGACTCAAATGGGGAACAAAGTGGTAGGGGTACGAAAAAGCCAAGGGAATCTTGCGCAAGATAGGGTGTTTCTGAAAAAGGAAAAGAAAAAGCAGTACATAGTGAATCTTCTGCAGTGAAAAAAGACAAAGAAAAAGCTGTTGAGAGGGAATCTTCTGCCACTGTAGACAAATGGAAAAGTAAAGTCAGTTCTGTTTTTGGAAAAAGGAGGACAAGAGCTTTTGGTAAAAGGAGGTGCAAAAATGTAAAAAAGACATGTGATAAAGAAGACCAAAGGTCCAATACAGTGACTGAGGGACTAGTTGAGAATGAGGTTGTTGAAGGAAGTGTAGAAAATAGCAAGTTATCAAGATGTCATCCAATAAAGACAAGAAAAGTAAGAAAAATGACCACAGTCTGTGAAGATGAGGAGAAGTCAGTAGACAATCTTAACTCTGATTTTGCAAATCCTAACTTCAGTTGTGATGATAATGATGATGATGTCGATTTTGATGAATGGGTGGACAAACAAACTGAGTGGGTTGGAGATGAGGCAAAAGGAAAAGAGCCAGAGTAACAAATGCTAGGGTTGAATCTTGGGATTAGGGTGCAAATGTTGAACTGGATTTAGAGGAGTATGATTCTGATAATGCGTAGCCTAAATATGACTCTGATGATGACACTTCAATGATAGATAAATGACCAGAGTTCAATCCGAAAACTGACATGGGAGATCCACAGTTTGAGGTTGGGATGAAGTTTAGTAATTGTAAAGTTTTTAGATCGGCTGTTAGAGAACAATTTATAAAGAGGAATAGGGATGTTGTATTTGTGAGAAGCGAAGCTTTCAAGTTAAAGGCAGTTTGTGCAGATCTAGATTGCCCATGGGAGATATATGCTTCCAAAATACAACACGAGAAGACCCTATAGGTTAAGAAATATGAGGGTGAACACACGTGTGGTATTGTTTGGGAAAACCCCACTGTGAAGTCTAGTTGGCTCAGTGCCAAATATATAGAAACATTGAAGAGTAATCCAAGTTGGCTAGTTAGCTCATTCATGGAAACTGTGGAGAAGGATTATAACACTGGAGTTTCTAGGCAACAAGTTTATAGGGCAAAAGAGAGGGCATTGAGGCAGATTGAATGAATATACACAGAACAATACTCTAGAATTTGGGATTATTGTGAAGAGTTAAGGAAGACCAATCCAGGAACAACAACCAAAGTTCAATGTGATTTCAATGAACAATTGGGTCATCCAGTGTTTCAAAGGTTATATGTGTGCCTAGGTGCATGTAAAGCAGGGTTCATTGCTGGATGCAGGCTCATTATTGGATTGGATGGCTGCTTCTTGAAGGGTGTATATGGAGGGCCATTTTTAGCAGCAGTTGGTATATATGCTAATAATGAAACATGGGTGATTGCGTATGCAGTGGTTGAGTCTGAGTGCAAGGACTCATAGGTTTGGTTTTTGGAATTGCTGGTTAAAGATGTAGAGATTATTAACCAGTTTGGATACACTTTCATATCAGACAAGAAAAAAGGATTATTAATAGCTTTTGAGCAAGTTGTTCGTAATAGTGAACACAGGTTTTGTGCAAGACATCTGTTCACCAACTTCAGATTACAATTCAAAGGGAAAACTTTGTCTGACAAATTCTAGGGCGATGCAAATGCAACAACTGTTCCACAGTTTGCAAGACAGATGGAAGAGTTGAAAAACCTTGATAAGGATGTTTATGCTTGGTTGACTGAACTAGAAAAACCTCCCAAGCATTGGTCTCGATCACACTTGAGCACTTGAGCAAAGAATGATGATGGTCTTGCACACTTGTTTGTGTTCTATTAGCTGGTTTGGTTATTTTGTTATCAGAATACAGTTTTGCCTTTATTTGCTAGTTGGATTAAGTTATTATGTTATTTTGGAAGACAAGTTGCCTTATGTTAGGAAGATCGCTTGTGATATTTTGTAAGACAAGTTTTGTTTTTTTGGAAAACAGGTACTGCGTTTTTGGAAAACAGGTTCTGTTTTTTTGTTTGTTTTTGGAAAACAGGTTGTGTTCTTTTGGAAGGTTGTAAATGTTGTTCTATGGCCTATTTTGTTGTAATGCTGCAAGTGGATATGTTATTATATGACCTACTTTGCTGTAATGCTGCAAGTGGAAATGAATTTGTTCATATGTTGTACAAACAAGTTGTTGGAATGAACGGGTTATTGCATTATCAAAATTTCACATTGTATGCAGATTATATAGCCATTCCCATTACATAACCAAAATGCAAAATGTTCATTCCCATTACATAACCAAAAACACACTGCTTTTCATACCAAAGACATAGTGTAGACCCTAACCAAAAGCACACTACATTACACCACAAGCACAGTACTTCCCATACCAAAAGCACAGTGCATCCCAAAAACACCCCATTTCATGGAAATTCCAAAGTCTTCAGCTTCAGTCCATCGGATCCCCCATTCCCTCCAAAGAAGAACATTGCAATAAACATCCACGACACCATCAATGCTGCCCAAAGATCCTTCTCTCTGCCTCTAGCCTTTGCTAGTGAATTCTCCAACTTATCTCGCGATTTTAGCAACCTCAGAATCACAACTTTAGACCTTTCACACATTTCCACATCATACCAAACCCAGAAATCACAACCTCCTCTACCTTGCACAAAACCCACTATGTAAATTAATATTTGCACCTACTACAATTCAAAATCTAATATTTTGCACCAAATCCAATTTTTTTACCTTTGCACACACAGAGAATCGCCTCCCAAGATTCGAAATTGTCCACGAGGTTCGAATTCTCGCATTCTTACCACTCCAACACACCATCGCCGTATGCTCTATTTCTCCTTTGTTTTCTGGGTTAAGGAGCCAATACATTCGAATACACCTTTTGGACGGCTCACTTCTAAGAAATCGTAGATTTGAGCTCACAACTATGAAAATTTAGGATTTATGTTAAACTGAGGTTGATGACGAATTTGGGGCTTTCTCTTCGATCTCCAGCTTTTGCAAAGCGTGCCCAATTTGGGCGTGATGTTCAGTTTTTTTTTTGAATTGTTGAAACCTAAAACTGCCCTTCAACTGGCATGTGCAGAATCGTCAAAGCGTTGGTGGGGTGGGTCCCACGGGTGCCATGTCAGCAGTTAACAATTGATCTTCTGGTCAACTTAACGGAAGGATGAAATTGGACGATGTTGAAAACGTTAGGGCGTAAATTGATAAAATTGATACTATGGGGTCCAATTTGAGAATGACCTTAAACCTACAGGGTGTCTTTTGTCGTTAGCCCTAACAATTATAAGCATTTTTTATTATTAAAAATTCAAATGTTACTTGAAAAAACACTTGAAAGTTATGCTAGAGAAACACCTTCGATGTGTAAATTTATCAACAAAACAATGGTAACTTTTTTTTTCCTTCTCTTTTTTTTTTTGGTTAAGAGTTAAGACCTATTAAATTTTTTTTGTTTCCTCTAATAATAATGATGATGGTGGCA